AATTTAGATGTAAATTATTAAATACTAAAGAGAAGTCAGTTCTGTAGTTATTTAAGGTTAATTTTTTTGTTTTTGTTTGGTGTTTTTTTTGAGACAGAATCTCACTGTGTAGTTCTCACTTGAACTCACAGTGATCTTGCTGACTCAGCCTCCCAAGTGCTGGGATGTTAGGTGTGTGCCACTGGTCCTGGCCAAGATTAAATCTTTTAAGATAACTTGTGTAAAAAAGTTTTATTTAATTGTGGAACATGCTCGTAGGATGACCCTTGAGTTCAGAGCCCCTGTACGCTCTACCTGCTGTTCAGAGTTTATCGCACTGTACCCACCTTCTTCTGTCTGAATGATGGAATATGCCGAATGACCCATCGCTTGGTGGGAACTTATGGTTTGATTAGTGGTGTGTCAGACAGCTGTAAAAATTCGAGTTCATTTTCTTTCACTAGAACATTTTGAAATGTCATCCTGTGCTGTAAATCTCTGGTGCCAAAAAGCAGACTGCTTTTTGATGAAGATGCAGTTTTTATGTCAAGTGGGTTATGCACCAGTGTTTATACTCCGTTCCCTCAACCCCAGGAGAAACTTCTTCTCCAAGCAGACTCTTTTGCAGAATTTCAGTGAACAAAGCGGAATTAGTGTGAGTTAATCCACTCAGCTGATGGCATTCTTAAATTAAACTAGTGGAGCAGGGGAAGGCCAGCAGACTGTCTGGACACCTGTTACCAGGTGCAGAGTTGCAGGTGACCGCTGCGGCCCTGCAGCCCTCAGAGCATCTGTTTGCTCAGCCTCCAGTTAGTTCTGGCAGTGAATGGATAAGCTCTGCCTGGAGCAGGTGCCAGGTCAGCGGCACAAACCACCTCCCAGGGATAGCCATTTCCTTTGAGTGACGTGGAATGAGAAGCACAGTGTCGGAAACGTGGGTCATGGTCCGTGGCCCACAATGTGTGGTGCAGCCCGTGGTGAGACTGCTGAAAGGGCTGGTGCTTCCTGTCGCTTCTGTCGCCTGAGCTGTGTGCCTGGAACGGGGCTGCGGCTATGTGTTCCATGCAGCATTTTGTGAACAGAGAGGCTTAATTCAAAGTCCACACACAGCCAAAACTCCAGCAATGGCAGCTTGGGGGTATGCTGACACATACGTGTCACCCTAGCACTCTGGGAGGCCGAGGCCAGCCTGGGTAACTTAGTGACATAGTGAGCCTCTGTCTCAATGTGAAGAGTAAGGTGGGTGGGAGTGTAGCTCAGTATGAAGGCCCCAGGTTCACTTCCTAGTACTGAAAAGAAAGTTCCAGGATGACTCAGACAGGAACTGGCACATTGGTCTTCGTTTTTTTTTTTTTTTTTTTTTTTGGTACCAGGGATTGAACTCATGACCTCATGTTTGCCTGGCAGGCGCTTAAGCCACTGAGCTAAATCCCTGGCAGGAATTCTAGTTTCATATGCAATAAAGTAGAAGTGCTCTTGGGTCTTAGAATAGCGACTTTCCTGGGAGGGGAAACTACACCAGTGCAGAGGATGGGTAGGCGTAGTGGGGGGAACGGGAAACACAGAAGGCTCCTGAGTGCCTAGGCTCCAGCTGTTTGCAGAGGTGGGGGGGTATGCCGACCAGTGTCTTGTTGTCTCTGGGTCCTCTCTCGGGCCGCTGTGCTGTGCTGTGCTGTGTGGCTGTTTTCTGTCTGTGTCCCTTCTGCCTCCCAGAATCTCCACAGTGTTTTGTGCAGGATAGGTACCCATAAGTGAGCTCCCAGTGGAAAAAGCACTTGAGGGCTTATGAGGTGTTCAGTTTGTTTCACTGTAATAAAGGTCTAAAGAAAATGTGGGCTGGGAGTGTGGCTCTGATTGAGGGCTTGTGTAGCACATGCAAAGCCCTGGGTTCTATCCCTAGCAAGAGAGGAAGAGGAGGGAGGGGGAGGGGAGGGAGACAGAATTTATCTTAATGTTTGACCTCCTATTAAGTACCGACATTAGTAAGCAGCTACTTTCAGAAAAGTGTAAGTAGTGCCTTCACAAATTGTACTCTAAAACTTTGCTTACGTTTTGATTTAAAGTGAAAATTTCTTCTGGGCAGTTTAAACCCTTACCTTGAATAGAAGTGCTGTGAGTGGCTCACTGTAATTCCTGCCTAGGAGCCCAGGCAGACTCTGTAGACCCTGGCATCTGTGATTAGCGTGTGGCACCATGCACTGCTATCAGCATGGACAGGTGCTGGGGGTTGGTGGTGGGGAAAGAAGCCCCATGTAACACCATGAGGAGCTCATGGATGCCTGAGGTTTTAAACCGCTGTCCATGGGCCATTTAGCTGCTGGTGACTCCAGCTCACATGATTCATAATGCTGGAAGTGGAAGTTCACTCTTCATTGGAAAGTGAAGCTACTTCAGTTCTTTAAAGGCTACATCTATGGAATGGAGGCCCGTGTGACTTTGAGGGCCTGTTGCCATAAGGTTATCACATGAACATCCCATCTGGCAGCGGGTTCTCGGCCGAACTCAGCCTGAGTGCCTCCTGCCTGGCCGTGTTCCTGCAGGAAACACTGCCCGCATTAAGGCTGTGCACTGGTATGGGAGTGCGAGTCATCTGTGTCATGTGACTTGTGAGCTGTGTTTCTGTCCCCATCCTGCCAGCCTCTCTCCTCTCTGCCGGTGTGAGAGATGCCTGAACTAGCTGGGCTGCACAGTGTACTCATCCCCCAGGTTCCCTGTTGCATTTCAGATTTATCTGATAATCAGCTCAAATACTGCTGTTTTCCCATCTCAGAGAGCTTCTCTATTAGGGGCACCTGTGTGTCCCTCTAAGGACCCCAGCAGAGTACTAAGCCCAAATTGCTCTTTTTCTCTCCTCGATAGCACCCGATTTCTTTCTCATTTGCTAGTATTGTTCTCTGGATTTTCGAAGATGACTAGGCAGGTATCAGGTCTGAGCAGAAAAGCACTGATCCTGAAGAACTCGAGACTGTTACCCAAAGCAGGCCTTCTGCTTTTCAGGGAGGGGCTTCTCGCAGTAGAACCTGCTGTTCAGGGTTGTCCAGGTGATTTCTGAGCAGCGATTTGTGGTGTATGGGCCCTATGGGAAGCTACTGTGCTCAAAGGCACACTTTCCTGAGTTTGGTGTTCGCGCATGTGTGCCTGGGTATCACCCGCTGGCAGCCATTACTTCTGGAAGTCCCCCATTTGGCAACCTTGACCTGCTGTTTGCAGATGCTTAGCTTTTTAAGTTTCACACAAATGGAGACAGCTCTCTATGCACACTGGTGCACACCGGTAATCTCAGCTCCTGAGACAGATGGATTGAAAGTTCAGGCCCCTCCTGGTCTTCTTGAGGTCCTGTCTGACAATAGCGAGGGGCTGGAGTTGAAGCTCCGTGAGGTGCCCTGTGTTCAGCCCCAGCATCACAGAAAAATCAGAACTGCTGGGCGCGCTTTCTTGGCTAGAGTTTTACTCAGCACCTTCGGACAAAGCTTGTTGTCCTTCCTTCCTATGGCTCAGTCCCTACATGCTCTGTGGGTCTCTCAGCTTTGTGATGGCTCTGCTCTTAGCAGGTGTTTAGAGGAACCCCCGCTCTTCCAGTCTTTCAGCCTCCAGCACCTTCCTGGGCTTCCTGTCCCTCCTCTCTGGTGCACCTTGAGCTTGACCTTTGAGTAGCAGGAGCCTGGGGCCGGTGCATTGAGCTGTTGGCCTTGTCACCATCAGCCATCTCCAAAGACAGGGAGGTTGGCCAGTTGCATATAGTGACGCGTAATAGTATTTTTCACCAAATAAAATTCCTAGTCAAACATCTCTGCCTGATACAGAGTTGTTTATTTGAAATCAGCGGTGTAAGAAATTCCACATAAAGGCTCGGGGATTTAGCTCAGCAGTGGAAGTATCTGCCCAGCAAGTGCAAGGCTGAGTTCAATCCCTGGTACCAAAAAACCAAAAAGTAGAAATTCCACATAAGAAACGACTGTTACCAGTTACTGTGTGGTTAATAAAAATATGTGTTTTTTCCAGTCTCCTTTTTTGTATTTTCTATATCTTTTTACAACAGAAAAATAAAACTTATTTCCTTCCTTCCATCCATCCTTCCTTCCTTCTTTCTTTCCTTTCTTTCTGCACTTGGAATTTAACCCAACACCTTTGCATTGAGCTGTATTCACAGCTCTTTTTTCTGAGTTGTTTTTGCTTTGGGACAGGATCTTAGTAAATTGCACAGGCTGGTTTAACTTGTGATCCTCCTGCCTCAGCCTCCCACAGTGCTGGGATTGCAGGTGTGCACCACCATGCCTGACTAAAATTTTTTTTAAAAAAAGAAAAAGCCTGAGCTGGGAGAATAGCTCAGTAGTGGACTGCTTCCATGGTTTTGATTCTTAGGACTGAAAGAAAAAGAAGTCTGTCCTAATAGTTTCCTAGTTTTTATAATTTATTTAAAGTTCTTAGTTTTTTTTTTTTTTCTGTAAAAGAAAGAATTGTAGTATTCTATTGTAAAGTCGTAAGGTACAGAAGCAAAGTTTCTCCTGGGGGTGTGATTTGGGGTAGGTTTTGTTTTCTTTCTTTCTTTCTTTCTTTTTTTTTTTTTTTTTTTTTTTTTGTCTTTTTCCTTTTTATCGGTACCAGGGATCGAACTCACGACTGCCTGCTTGCAAGGCAGGCGTTTATGCTGCTGAGCTAAATCCCCAGCCCCTTCATTTTTGTTTTTGAGATAGGGTCTCACTGTGAAAGCCAGGCTGGCCTCAAGCTCATGGCAACACTCCTGCCTCAGCCTTCTCAGTGTTGCACATGGCTGAGTGGGGAGTTAGTCTTGCTGGAGCCCACTGTCTTCCTTGGTTACTGAACTCTTATCATCCCTGTTATGTCACTGTCCTCCCTCAGTGTTACCATGATAACGTAACTATCACTTACGTGGGTCTCTACCCACCGTTTTAAGCAAGAGTGAGGTGTCTAATATGTTAGATAACAGGCTCTGAACTATATGGAATTAGATTTTCTCATAGTGAGGAGAATGACCTTTGCCTTTCTTTTCTTGTTCCAAGAATATCAAAAAATATTCCAACAACCAAAGATGTGGAGCCCCTGCTTGAGATTGATGGAGACATAAGAAACTTTGAAGTGTTTCTGTCTTCGAGGACCCCAGTTCTTGTGGCCCGGGATGTGAAAACCTTTCTGCCATGCACAGTAAACCTGGACCCCAAGCTCCGGGAGATTATTGCAGGTGGGTGTCCATGAAAAGTCACGATATGTGAACTAAGCACTACACAAGAAAACGAATAGAATATAGGAGTTTAGGGATGTTAAAGAGATGTTAGCCAACATGGTGGTACACTCCTGTCATCCCAGCACTCAGGGAGGCTGAGGCAGGAGGATCCAAAATTTATGTGGACAGATTAGTGACTTATGGTTTCAGCCTGGTGTGGAGGTGGCACTGAGCCAAGGCGTTAAAGTTTAGTGCAGGGAGTTCCTGTGCTGCCCTGTGTGCACTGCCCACCACTGCTGAGACAAAACACCGAGTGCCTGCAGCAGGAGGAGGGGAGGGTCCTCTCAGTCTGTAGGAGGCTCAGCCCAGAGTGGGCTCTGGGGTGGGGAGAGGGGCAGAGGACATCACAGGGCAGAAACAGCTCCTGGCAGGCAGGTGGGGCAAGCGGAATGGAGCCAGCAGTGGAGGAGCCAGTGGTGGCAGTGGCCCCTTTTCTGGCATCTCCTCTCCCTGGCCCTGCCCCCTCCTCTGCTCTCCTGTTCTTTCCAGGCTGTGTCCCCTTAGGACAGGCAGCACCCGCCCCAAGGGCAGGCTTCTCACTGTCTGCACCCAGGACTACACCAGTCAGTCAGTGCAGTAATTCAGTGATCACACGCCTTAATAACCAGCACATGTGCCCAGAGCCAGCCACCTCTGAAAAGCCCCACCTGTGACTGCTTGAGGCTTTGGGGGGCATTTAGACATGAACCCTAACACCAGCCTTCATCGAAATGGGATGCTTTTCACCACTCATCTCTGTTGGCAGCCCTTGAGTTTTCTAGGAACTGGGCAAAGTCACCTCACAGCAGTGCTGCAGGACGCTGGCCAGGCCCTTCCTGCAGTGCGAGATAGAGTGCGGCTTGGCTGGGCAGGGTTAGACAGGGAGCTGCGGTAGTCACCAGTGAAGAAATGCACATCTTAGCGTCCCCAGCTGGGGCTTGCCGGTCCCTGAGTCTGTCTGGTGGCAGCATGGGGCATGGGCACTCACCCACTGTGTACAGCACCCTGGGCTGCAGCCCCAGCACCAAAAGGGTTAAATGAAGGAGCAACCCAACCCGTGCTTGTCTCTTGTCTGGTGTGGTGGCCGAGCCTTCTGCTACGAGCCCCTGCAGCTGAGAGTAGATTGGGCCGACACCTAGCAGTGTGGAGGTCCTAGGGCAGGGAGGTGGGGGGAGCAGCACAGATGAGGCATGAGTATTGTGAGCAGGTCATAGATCCTTTAGAAAGTAGAAGACTTAACAGCACGGGTAGCTGAGAAGGGTCCAGGTGTCGAGGCTTCTCAGATGGTGACGCAAGCTTTTGTGTGCTCCTTTGGGTGCCTGGCAGAGTTGGGGAGGAGCAGTTGGGACTTCCTATCCCCGAGCGCTGGCTGCTCCCTACAGAGAGGACGCCATCTGGCAGGCAGTGGGTGGGACTGACACATGTGTCTTATCTTCTTACTGCTGGGATCTTGCAGACGTGCGTGCCGCCAGGGAGCAGATCAACATAGGAGCCCTCGCCTACCCACAGCTGCCCCTGCACGAAGCCACACCTCGGGGGCCATCGGGCTACAGCCAGCCCCCCTCCGTCTGCTCATCTTCCACATCTTTCAACGGGCCCTTCGCCGGCGGGGTGGTGTCCCCTCAGCCCCACAGCAGCTACTACAGTGGCATGACGGGTCCCCAGCACCCCTTCTACAACAGGGTAAGCGGCTGGCCCTGCTGCATGGCTCACGATTTCTCCCAGGAAGGGTGCATATGGCTTCTGCTGCAGATTGTGTACTTGGCCTTAAAATAGATAAAGGGTAAAGATTTATAAAATGTGATTTTTCAAAGATCAGCAGAATTTTGACTTTTTGTATGCTCTTGATCTTAAAAGAATCTAAAGGCTGGGCCTTGTGGCACACACCTGTAATGCCAGCACTTGGGAGGCTGAGGCAGGAGGATCACTGTGAGTTCAAGGCCAGCCTGAACTACATAGTGAAACCATGTCTCAAAAAAAAAAGTTTGAATGTCAGTGATGCTTTTAGTTTTTATTTTCTTGATAAGGAAGTAAACACCAGGTCAGCCATAACTATCCATTGCTATAAGAGTCTGATTTTCTTTTTGGTATACTTTGTAAAGTAATTTATACTGACATTTACAACATCGATCAACTGAAATTCCTATAGTTGTTCTTTATTCCTGTACATAATATAATTTATATCTTTTAAATGTGAGAGAGTAATGGAAAAACACTGATTGTGAGGCTCAGGTGCTATTGTCAGTTAAATCCACCGTAATCCACCTTTGGTATTTCACATTGTTCTCAGTTCATAACTGCTTACTTTATACAAATGCACAGTTGTCTAGATGTAAGTGCAGAGATCAGAAGCAGCAGACCTTACTGGGTTTAGGTGACCCGAGCTGTCTGTTCTCGCTTTCATGACCTTGTTCATTCTCCTGTGAGCAAGGAGGCTGTGAGCCATGCCTGCTGCTTCCTGGACCTGTGCTGTAGGGTCAGTTGCAATTCCTAGGTTTTGTTGTCTCCCTCTGTAGTTTAATACAAGATTGCATCATATTAATTAATATTCATGGAAGCCAGTTGTATAGTTAAATAAATTTCCTAGAGCTGGGAGGAAAGAGAAGTTTACAATCACTGTGGCCAAAAAGGAACTCCAGAATTTAAATGTTCAGTTTTGGAAAAATATTGGCTATGTTAGTAGTTAGGAATGCAGTTCATATAGGCCCTGGGGGGCTAGGCATCTAGCTCAGTGGCACAGCATCTGCCTGGTAAATGCAATGTCCTGAGTTCAATTCCAGGTCCCCCCCGAAAAGAAAAATAGAGGCCCTGGTGATGTTATTGCTTGTCTCTATTCAGACAAAAAGCAAACAGGTGGAGCAGTGGTGTTTCGTAATGCATTTCTAGCTTTATGAAATTGAACTATGGGATAGACAATGTGAAACACAGATTTTTATCTGCCAGTCTTAAAATCTGCAATGGTTTTGCATAAAATAGCTTGGTTGCTGCCAGTTGAAGTTTTGAGACTGAGTTTATTTTGTAAAGAAAAATTACCAGACCCTCTTGGCTGATGGAGATCTGCTGTTCACCGATTTCAGGACTCATGGTCCTGTGGTCCCAGCCACTGGGAGGCGAGGGAGGAGCCTTACCACATGAGCTCATCCCAGGTGACCTTCTGAGACCCTGTGTCAGAAATAAACGATAAAAAGGGCTACGTGTAGCTTAGTGTGAAAGCTAGGTTTACTGGAATTTTCTGGATTTTAAAACATTTCAGATGTTCTTGTTTTTAAGGTTAGTGATTTTTCTGTTGTTTTTGCTTTGGTTAATTTAGCCTTAAGGAGAGCCTTAAGGCTAGTAGTTTTGAGCCTTAAGGAGAGTAGTTCTCTTAACAGTCAGGGTAGAGACTATGAGGGGAAGATGTCCCTTGGTGCAGTGGAACCCAGTGACCCTCGTCTCTGTATCTGACTCAGATCCCCTGATACTGTTGTTCAAGTCCCTCTGTATTATTTAAAATGAGATTTCTGCTTTGGGGCACAGAGCATGCTGGGTGTCAGGGTCTGGATCACCCTGGGGATGGGAAGGGGCCCTGTTCCTGAATCTATGCTGGGGTTCTTACATGGCCCTGGCCTTTCAAAATGGTTTATGTTAATTTTTTTTAAAAAAATGTGAAAAGTATTCTAATAAGCATTGTACTTCAATAAGATTCCAATTTTTTTTAAAGCTATTGTGAGACATATATAGGTTACCTAGAACCTGACACAGGAAAACCACTGTAAACCACTTGAAAGTGTAAAGATACATTTTGTCAAACTGTAAGGTGTAAAATTTTACTTGTTATTTTGAAAGCTTGTATTAAATGAGGAGTATAAAAATGTACATAATAAGTTAAATTTGAGTTGACAGCTCATAAGTACGAAGGAGACGTGTTAGCCTTTTGTTTTGTCATTTGCATTAATTGGAGTTGTGTTTGGTTAGTTTCATTTGCTGAATCTCATGACACTTTGATTTCTGTGATTGTTCATTTTCTGTTACATGTTTCTCCATAGCCATTCTTTGCCCCCTACCTTTACACGCCAAGGTATTACCCTGGCGGCTCCCAACATCTCATCTCACGTCCATCTGTAAAAACAAGCTTGCCTCTCAGAGAGCAGAGCAGTGGCCTAGTAAGTATCTCACGGGGACGGAGCGTGGGCTCGTGGATGCAGGCAGCGCCATCCGGGCGACTGCCTTTCCAGAGCAGGGAAGTGCAACCGGTGTTATAAACAGCGTGAAGAAACTTTGAGCTGTTACTGACAGAAAATGTGTTTCATCCTGTTTGTTGGTAAATATCTGGGGAGGGAAAAGGATCAACAGTCCCAGGACTAAATGTGGACTTTTTTTTGATGAGAGATTTCTGCTTTGGAATGCAGTCCTTGGTTACCAAAACTTTTAAGAACTAATGTTTTACATCTGCTAATTTCTAATATGTTTTAAAGGAAATGCTTACATGGTATGTAAGTGTGTATATATAAATATATACACACTCGTGTATGTAAAATAGAGGATGTAATGGAAAAATTGTTTCTGTCTAATGGCACAAATTAAATAGCTTAAGGGGAAATCATTGAAGTGCACCAAAACTAAAACACACATGTGCCTATATAGGTAGGGGTCCCTGATGACAGACTCGGTTCAGGTGACAGGGAAGAACAGACTCCGTTAGGGTCATTGTAACGCAGCTGTGGAATGTTGCTTGTAAAAGGGGTGCTGCGGGATGATGCGCCCCACTATGCCCTGGCCTTCGTCTTTGTGGTCTGCTCACCCCACCTCTCGCACTCTCCTGTCCCCGCTAGGAGGTTATCCAGGAGGATGCTGCCGAGGGGCCTCCCTCCCCCACGGATGCCTCGAGGGTAACGAGCAGGCTTGCGGTGGGCGCTGGCGCACGTGGCTTCCTCAACTCACTAATGCTGCCTCCCCCGTGGATGTGCTGGCGGCGAGCGTGGCGTAGCCGTTACTAACCATTAGAGCTGGTGCTTGACCTGACACTGTCGTCCTCCTGCATTTCCCCTTCTTCAGTGACATGGGTGGGGCTCTGCTTTCCAGTGGGAAAGGGTTTTCGGCACCACCTGGGGCGACTGCCTTTACTTGTCTCTTAGGGCCCAGCTTTCTGTCCCCCTTGACAGAGTTAAGGCTGTACTCGCCATTGCACACGGGGCTGTCATCTGTGAGACTGCAAGACATGGGTTAGATGTTGTGTGCTTTTGTCTGTTTACTGAAATAAAATTTCCAGACAGAACAGGGTTAGCATGGAGAGGAAGTCACATCTATCTGTATAGCAGTACTGTGATTCACTAATTCTTTTTTATGTATTTATTTATTGGACAGTGTCTCACTATGTAGTGCAGGTTGGCCTTGTGGTCAGCTCTGTATGCCAGGCTGGCCTCTGACTCATACCTGTCCTCCTGCCTCAGTCTCCCAATTGCTGGGACTACACCTGGCTTCACTGATACTTTTGTTGTAGCAGTTCTGTTCACAAACAGAAGTGCTTGGCCAGATTTTGTTTTTGTTCGCAAACTCTGCATCAGGTGACAAACAGGACTGTGGCCATCTTTCCCACACAAACACAAAGCTGGCTATCTTTTCCAAACTCACAGAACAACTGAGTTCATGAGCTGAGGTACATTGTATTTCCTTAAAGCCTTCAGTGAGGTTTAAAAAAAAAAACAAAAAACTCAGAGGAGGAGGAAGTCACTTGGTAATGATTATCCCAGACCGTGTACTTAGTAAGGAACATTTGTGCTGAGCCTTAAAAGCTTGTCAGGGCCAGGGTCCTGGCTGAGTGTTCCCACACTGTCTGGCATGTGCGAGTTCTGTGTCCATCCCCAGCCCTGCACTGATGGACAGAACCACACTCTGCGCAGGAGCAACTTCTAGAGTCCAAATTCCCATGTGTACTGCTGTGCTGAAGCTGCTCTGTCTCAGATCCAGTGCAGGATGGGTAGTTTTTGTGACACTGACCTGCTGCAGTGGAGGCTGTTCCTGTGTTCTACAGTGTGCAGATACTTGGAAAAAGGTGGTTTTCTTCCAAAGCCCATTGGGAAAGGCCAATCTTGCAGTGGGTTTTTGGGGAAAGGGAAATAGCATGGTTCCTGAGGGGTTTAGGAACCCCGTAACAAAGCTTACAGGTTCTCTGCCTGCTTTAGTGCCTTTGTTTAGTAGAATAACCATGTTGCTGCTGTTAGAACATTAATAGACAGTTGTATAACTCCCATAGTGCATAGTAAATGCTCACCAAGTGTCCTTCGCTTCTGAGAGCTCACCAGTGGCATAGTGTGTGAGATGTGCTTGGCAGAATGGTGGTCCAGGTAGACACTGGGTCCCTTGTCGAGTCAAAAGCAGTGGTGGAAATGTCAAGGACTCCTAGTGCGGCCGTCCTTGGCCTTCTAGCAGGACTAGCAGTGGACGGCATGTCTCTCAGTCTCCTATGCCCTGTATGAGAAAGGCTGCTATAGATAGGTCAGGAGCTGAACGAGCACTTTGGAACTAACTATCGTTATAGATACAGAATAATGTGGGGGAAAGCCAGATCGAAGAGGGTTAACTAGCTACACAGTTGGGGCTTTTTTGGGGGGCGTGGGTAAATAATAGATGGGCTCTTTTTTTTTTTTTAACCACAGAAGTTTCTGGTGAATCTTTATTTATTTATTTATTTTTTGTCTTTTTGCTTTTTATCGGTACTGGGAATCGAACTCACGACTGCCTGCTTGCAAGGCAGGTGCTTATGCCACTGAGCTAAATCCCCAGCCCATCTGGTGAATCTTTAAAAGACAGATCTTAGAAAAATAGTTGGGTTTTCTTTCATTTAACCTTGTAAGAATTATAGCTTGTGATGGCCAGCCAAGGATTTATCAAGTAGATTATAAATGTATCCTAGTATTTCACATAAAGGCCAGGATTTATAAAATACAAGTGTTCACACTAGAGTTTTCTCTAAAATTTTATCTCTGAGGGAGAGTAATACCAATTCTTACAAAAAAAAGAAAAAAAAAAAAAGGAAAAATGACTTAGATGCATAGTATGCCCAGCTAGTGTTTCCCATTTCTATGCAGAGGCTGCTTCTTGCGGAGTGAGATCTAAATCGAAGCTCTGTTCACAAACTGTGAGTGCAGGCCTGAGCCCCCCTTGCTCTCTATCCTTCCTCAGGTTTCCAGAAACAGAGTTAAAATGTACCCGACTTGGGCACACAAAGACTGTGCATGGTGCTGTGGCAGTGCAGGAAATGGAAGCACGCACAGAGATGCAATGTGAAATCCTGACCAAGTGGAGTTAGCTGGAGGAGTGACTGTCCTGCTATGACCTTGGGGCCACTCCTGTAGCCATTGTGGGGAGCTCAGATGTTGCAAGAATGAGCCAGGTGTGGTGGCATATACCTGTAATCTGGAACTCTAGGAGGCTGAGGCAAGAGGGTTACAAGTTGGAGCCTAGTCTGGGTAACTTAGCCACTTAGCAAATAAACAAGTAAAATACTGTACTACACTGTACCATACTACAGAAAAGCCCTCCCTAGGCACAACCCCTCTTGTCACAGAAACCAACAGCAGAGCTGCTATGCCTGCTGTCAAGCTTGGCGTGAGAAGTCCACCCCCGCAGCAATCCAGGTTTGGCTGTCCCCTGCTGATTCAGCACAGGACACAGTCGACCCCTGTGTGCCTGTGGCTGACTCCGAGCTCCAGGGCTCACATCTCCTCAGCCCTCTCAGGGGCTTGAGGCAGCCGAGGGGTGCATTTTACCTTGGAAACGGCACAGCAGTCATGATTGCGGAGTTTCATAATCAGCAAGGCGGCGCTGACCAGTCCTGTGACTTCCAGGCTGCCCTGGCCTTTACTGGGAGAGACTGATGCAAACCATTGGCTTAGTCAGAGTTTGCAGAAATACAGATCTTGCTTTCCATGAAGTAAGGTCCAGTTCATGGAGTGACTGAGCTCAGAGTGAAGAAGAGCCCACCTGTAGGAAGTCCGATTTCCACCACTGGTTTAAAACCTGTAAGCCGGGGCCGAGAATAGAGCTCAGTTGGCATCAGCACCTGCCTGGCAGGTACAAGGTCCTGAGTTCTGTTTCTGGTAACAAAAAACAAACAAAAAAAAACACTTGTAAGCTGTGTTCAAATAAGCATTCGCCCAGCCAGGGCGAATGATGATCTAAATTTACTTTGATACAGTGCCTCTGTCTGTTCAGATGAAGTTCCAGACGCCTTAGGTGAAGAGCCAGGAACTTAGACCTGAGGCTCACCATGAGGATCTCGCAGTAGCTCAGCGCGCTGGAAGCCACGTGCTTTGAACAGGGTTTCAGTCTTGTCTTGGGTGCTGTGTTTGAGTGTGGAAAAGTACTCGCTTTTCCCTTTCGTGAGAGTGTAGTGAAAGATTGTATTTACTTCCTGCTTGTAAGTCTTCATACCAGACTTCAACACAGAATCCTTTTCCCCAAGCAGTTACTAAATTTCAGTCAGAGTGACTGGGATGTGTTCATAGAAACGGAATGACAGGAATCTTAACAGTGAGAGAACCGTTAAGGTTAAAAGAAGGAATCACATTCATTACAGTTGTTTAGTACTTGTGTGTGTGTGTTTTTAAGATTGCCCTTAAAAATAATAACTTTAAGCCTTATCCATCAACTTTGACAGAATTGTCATTTCTCAAGTAGTTTGAAGAGTCAGTTATATTGTCCAGCTAGTTTAACAATAGCTTTCTCTTATGTTTTAGGGAGCCCTAAAATAAACTGTAATTTCATTAGCACTTTTTAAAAATATTTTTTCATATCTTCACAGATACAAATATAGTTACTTTTTAAATTTTATTTACGATAAGCTTAATAATCTAGGAAATGAGGGTCCCACCATACCGTTCTGTTAGAAGACATCTGGCATTAGGCTAGCCACCCCCTGCTTTTTGTTTGCTAAAATGATGATCTAAATTTACTTTGATACAGTGTTGTCAGTCATCTCTATATTACTTTAAGCATTTAAAGAATATTTGCCAGGCATGGTGGGAAATACTTGTAATCCCACCACTTGGGAGGCTGAGGCAGGAGGATTACCACAAACTCAAGGCCAATTTAAGCTATATAGTATGAGTTCAAGGCAAGGCTGAACTGCATAGTGAGATCTTGTCTGAAAAAGGAAGGAAGAAGAGGAAGAGGAAGGAAAAGAAAAAAGAAAATTTGCCACCAGTTTAACAATAGTTAACAGCAGCAGTTGTTTAAATTAGAGCTTTGAAAAATCTGTGTCACTAAAATAGTTATGTTAATTGTAGGCTGCAGCCTTTTTTTTCTATTATGATTTCTTGGCTCGAGAGGCCTGCTTTTGTACTGCATTGTAGTGCGTACATTACAGTCTACATGTGCCGTAATACAAACCCCCAAACTGAAAGCATATTTATTTGTGAATATCAACTCCATGTGGCTAGGTATTTCATTTTATGATCAGTAAGCCTTATTACTAACTGGCTTAAAATTTAAGCTTGCAAGTTAGAGGGGCATTGAGTCTATGATGCACAGTTTATACCTTTAATAGAGAAAATAAGAATTTTGAGAGCAAAGTTTACAAATTACTGAACACGTTCGTGAAATAGTGTGTGTTTGTGTGCATGCATGCATATGCATGGATGCATGTGTGTGTGTGCAGGGAGGGGATTGTTCAGAGTGAAGGGAAATGACGGGCCTGACGGGGGAACGCAGTCTTTGCCTTTCTGATGTTTTCCTTACTGTGTTCTGTTCCTTCCTCGAAGCTGTGTGAGCCTGGGTCTAACAGACAGAGACAGGTACAGACACTCCGCAAGTCGCCTCGCCTACTTAGATGAGATCGCTGGCTGCCATGTGCTGGGCTGTGTCTAGATCTCTGCTTCTCTGGGGGCCTTGCGTTTCTTCTGTAGTTGCTTCCAGCCTTTCCATGGTGCTCACCTTTGGCTAATCAACTTCAAGCTTGCTTAATAAATTTACCAGATAATGTTTCAAAGTGTAGTTTTAATCTACTTATACTGTAAAATGAAACACTTCCCTCATGGTAATTTTAGTGTTTTGATAACTTTACTTTTACCTGGAGAAATTTTGATTTGTATGAATGTTGGAAGTTTATATTTTAACAGTTTAAACAAACTAACACTTGCTGCATTCAGTTTTCTGTATTAGAAAATGTTCTTAGAAGATAAATTCTGATTTGTAAAATCAATATGTCGAAATCATCTGTTCTTAAAACAGATAAATTTCAAGTAAGAATGCATTTCAAGTTATAATTTGAACAATTCTGTATGTTCTCCAAGTAATACATTGTTTCTTTCTTTTTTTTTTTTTTTTTTTTTTGTCTTTTTCGTTTTTATCGGTACCAGGGATCGAACTCACGACTGCCTGCTTGCAAGGCAGGCGCTTATGCCACTGAGCTAAATCCCCAGCCCTGAAAATGTTATTATTTAAGAGTAGTTTCTTTTGGTGGAGACAGGGAGTCAAACTCATGACCTCGAGCTTGCCAGGCAGACACTTATGCTGCTGAGCTAACTCTCTGGCCCTAAGTTTCTATTAAGAATTTATCTGCTGAGTCCAGATATGGTGGCCCATGCCTGTAATCCCAGTACCTGGAAGTCAGAAGTGAAGGCTCACTGTGAGTTCGAGGCCAGTCTGGGCTACATATTGAGTTCAAGGGCCCCTGAACTACACACTGAGACCCTGTCTTGGAAAAAAAAAAATCTGCTGAATTGTTGAAAATGCTTTTAATTTCCTTAAAATTTTCTTCTTCCTTTCCTTAATGATTTCTATCTAAAAATCATTATTTGGGTTACAAAATTTGTTTGGCTTCAAAATAATTTTACTATATATGTGATTATTGCGGCCAAGATCTGGCAGGTTATTATTATTTCCCCTTTGTTCAAAGAATCATTTAATGGTTTTTTCATTAACTGAGAATTTATCCCCTGATAAAGCCCAATTTACAGTCAAGCATAAGATTGTAATTTCCTTAGAATCTGATGTCTGTGCATCTGTACAGAGTCATTCAGAAATAATAACTATATATGCTATATAGTCTACAATGTGGAAAGATCTGTTAGTTAGTCTTTAGTGATATTTGAGTCACAGCCAGTATGTAAGGCGGGTATGTCCAGGGTGAGGAGAGATCATTTGAAAGATCAATTGTTCAGCACTCAGGAAGTGAGGTGCCAGGTGGGTGACCCTGGGTACATCGCCTGCAAAGGAAAGCAGATGAGGAAGCTCCTTACTATGTGACCTTGAGTGTGACATGCTTAGAATAGCTTCCTGGTCCAGAGGGATGGGCTTGGTTGCAGGGCTGGAGAAGAGGAGGAGAGAAGTGTCCCAGAGGTGAAGAAGATATTCTGAAACTGATAGTTCTTACTGTATGAGTGAGCGGCAGGAATTGCTGAGTTGCATGCTTTAATGAGAGAATTACACAGCCTATGAATCATACCTCAGCAAAGCTGTTTTAAAAGAGAAATGAAGATAGTGTAAGTGTAGTGTTAAACATCCATAGAAAGCATCTGCAAAGGTGAGAGGATAATGAATGCTTTGAGCATGGGCTGTGTTCATACAAGCAGGAAACAGAACAGTCCAGTGACATGAGGGCTAACTCCCAGAAGGGTGAGTGTTACTTCTCACACTCTAATGGCAGTTCAACCCGGACCATAGATGCCATGTATTAAATTTATAGTTAATTAGGGACAAGCTAGAGTGCTCGCTTCAGCAGCACATATACCTTTAAAAAAAACCTATAAATACATATGCTTTGTGCAATACATTCCAGGTCATTAATCCCAAACTTCCATGGACCTGTGTCGTGCTTGCTAATGCTCCCTCTTGCAGTAATTTTACTCTTGTCTGCTCAGTATGGTCTCGTTCCTTTAGCTATATTTATACTTATGCATAATATCTGTATATTATATATACACACTCACTATATGTGTATACAGTTACCAGTACAAATAGTATTACATTACACTTTCACATCACAGAGAATGTTTTAATAGTGGCTAATACATTTTTGACTATTCAGTAGTCTACTTTTGTCCCAGAAGTGATGAGAAAGTAGAAAATGCGTTATTAATTCACATACCCTTGAAGATGTATGTTACATACATCTGAAAGTTAGACTGAGACATTATCATTTTAATCCTCTTTATTCGTTGCTTTGTCCTCTCTTTTGTGGTTTTAGTGTCTACAACCTCATCAGAAGTAATTGGAGCAAAATAAATAGGAAATTAAAATAGCTGATAACTCGGGTTCTGGTCCCAATGAACTGTGAATCAGAGGCCTGCTAAAGCCTCTGTGGGCATTTGGAGAGTGAACAGGGACCACAGGCAGGTCAGAGAGGAGCACTGGGCTTAGTTGTCCTGGTGTTGAGGCTGCCCTGCGCCCTCATTAGGGAGGGAACCGGGACGTGTCGGGGCAGTGTCTCTCTGGGGAGCTGTGATCAGGCTCTGTCTGCTGCTCCTTAGGTAGCTGAGTGTGTCCCGTATGGCAGGCCCTGTGTGTACTGATTCGTAGTATCACCTTGAGGATCTATACTAAATGCTGTCACGCTTGTGTTTCCCCTCAACTTAGCAGGGCTCAGGCCCGGCCACCGGACCAGTGCTGTCCCTGAGCGCCATGAACGTGGACGCTGTGTGTGAGAAGCTGAAGCAGGTTGAGGGGCTGGACCAGAGCCTGCTGCCGCAGTACTGTGCCACCATCAGAAAGGTGATGCGTGCCTCGCCTAGGGCGTAGAGCCGCTCTGCTTGAGTTCCCGGACCAGGGCTCTGCTGGAACCTGGCTCTGGGAAGAATGGGGCCTCGCCCCAGCCTTGCTTTTTATTCCCAAGGGGCAAATGGGTCACAGAAAGTAAAGAGGCTGGACTGCATTCAGTACGTTGGTGGGCTGCCCTTCTCCTAGTGCGGCCAAGCAACCCTGAGGGCTCCTCCCCCTGGGCCTGTGTATTTAACGATAGGGGCTGAGCACCCCAGTTTGACAGTGTGAAATCCACAGTGCTCCAAAATCTGAAATTTTCAACCATGTGAATCAATGTGAGTTTCAGACTGCAGATTTTCAGTGCAGTCTGGGCCCAGGAGACCCTCAGCCTGTAGTGTGCTTCCAGGACTCCGTCCCCTTGAGCACGCTCACCTCATTTCCCACAGATGGAACTGATAACCTGTTTCACCTGGCAAAATCACATGACCATGGCTCTGCACAGCTGTGGGAGGCTGCTCCAGGGCTTGGTCGTTAACCCTGTGTCCTGGCAGAGCTAATCAGGTCCTTGTAGGAGGTCCCCCGCCAGTGGCACTTTCAGATGGGCATAGTGGAGAGGAGTGTTGGCTGGAAGCCTCTGCTGCCCATGATGCTCAGGGTGCTTGGGGGACACTGTGAAGCGGGCCCGGGGAGCAGAGGATGGCTCTACTGGTCTCTACCACATCAGCCGAGAGGCTCTGGGGCCTTTGCCATGTCTCCGAGTGCTTTGTGTTGCCTGCTCTAGGAACCCGGTGTCTGGATCTCAGAGAAGACAGGGAAGTGCAGCCCGGCCTGTGACCTTGCAGCACTTCAATTCCCGTGTGACCAGGCTTCTGCCCACTCTTCCTTACTCTGACCCTGGCTTCTGAGGACCTCTTACCCATGTGGTTCCCAGGCTGCTGTAGGCTGGCATGGTCAGAGCAGGGCTCCAATGCCACTGGGCCGTATGGTCCTCACTTCGAGATCCACATGGACCCAAGTGCCCCACTGATGCCAAGCAGGAGGGGGGTCCCCAAATTTCACCCTCTAATGGACCTGGGTTTCATAGTGCATCAAATCAGCAGGCAGGCTGCCTATCACCAGGAAAGAGAACATTCTTGATTCCTCTGAGGGAAGTTAGCGTTAAACTGAAAGAGCTGAGACCATTGTGAGCCTGTGTGTGTGTGTGTGTGTGTGTGTGTGTGTGTGAGACTGAGTGTGGTGTAAGGTGTGTGTGTGTGTGTGTGTGAGACTGAGTGTGGTGTAAGGTGTGTGTGTGTGTGTGTGTGTGTGTGTGTGACTGAGTGTGGTGTAAGGTGTGTGTGTGGAGCCAGGAGTTGGCTGTCCTTTCTGTATGTAGGCCCCACTGGTGCAGATGAGCTGGCTTGCTTATCTGGTGGATGGTGGTGTCTGTGTCCTCCCCAGCAGCCCTGCAGCACTCAGCCTGGTCCTTCTGGAATGGGCGGCAGTGCTGCTGGTGCCCCTGTAGCGGGTGGGATTGGGGAGCAGCCGGGCCCTGAGCCTCGATTCTCCCTGGGCTGCGCGAGCTCTGGTCAGACTCTGCTTGTTCCTTACAGTGTCTTGTGACATTTTGGGGAGGATGGCAGCTGTCCTCCTCTTTAATGACTATCTTAACACTAAATATCGATGCACTTTTCAGTCATCAGTGGTTCAGAGAATTTCCTGTTTTGTGGTCTTTTATCATTGCCTTGGTCTTTTTTCCAGGCAAACATAAATGGTCGGGTGCTGGCCCAGTGTAACATTGAGGAGCTGAAGAAGGAGATGAATATGAACTTTGGAGACTGGCACCTATTCAAAAGCATGGTGAGACATTCGTGCTGCATGTTAGTGCAGCTGCAGAGGTCCTGGGACCCAGTGCACAGCCACACCTAGCGGTCCGGTAGAGCCAGGTTTCTGTGCTGGAAGAGCATGGGCTGAAGCCAGGGCTCCCCACCCCTCAGAGCCCCCCACCTGCCTTTGCTGCAGTCAGGCCCAGGTCCCTTACCCAGAATCCCCATAGGACCCTACCCCTTTCCTGGCCCTGGCTCACACTTGTCCCCTTCTTTTCACAGCTGAGTGCTCTGGGCCAGGCTCTCTTCCTTGACTCAAATCTGCTCTTCCTGCCTCTGCTGCACACGATTCTTTTCTTAGGTTGTAACCTGAGGGGAGAAGCCAGAGTGTATCATTTATAGAAAGGGTTATTTCTGTCATTCCTTTATTGACTAAAAATAAGATGTAGTACACATTCATTGGAAATTCCTCTACAGGAAGTACATGCTCCCGTTTGCATCATAACTTTTATTTTCAAAAACTATTTTTCTTTTTAAACTTGTATTCATTCATTCATTCATTTTGGAGACTGAGTCTTGCTCTGTAGTTCAGGCTGGCCCAGAACCTCCTAGTAGCCCAGAGATCCTTCTGCCTCAGCCTTCCATGCGCTGGGGTTCCAGGTGTGCACCACTACACCATACCTCAGAGACTCTACAGTGCTTCTAATGTGTGATTCGTCAGTGTGGGCGTGACATGTTTTCTCCCGTTCAGATACTAGAAATGAGAAATGCAGAGAATCAGGTGGTCCCTGAAGACCCCCGCTTCCTCACCGAGAACGCAAGCTCTGCAGCTGCCCACGGGGAGTCTGCCCGCCGGTCCTCACGTGCAGAGCTGCCACACACTGAGCTCTCTGGCCAAGCACCCTACACGCTCAACTTCAGCTTTGAGGAGCTCAACACGCTGGGCCTGGATGAGGGGGCCCCAAGGCACAGTAACCTGAGCTGGCAGGTGGGTGTGGTGCCAGCAGGGTGCCCTCTCAGGTTAGATGCCACCCCCCAAGTCCGGGGTGCATGGGCTTTGAGGGAGCCCAGGCCAGGGTTGGGCCCGTGGGAAGCCAGGGGAAGGAGCAGCTGGACCCTGGGCCTGGCAGGGGCTGCGAGGGTGAGCCCTGCTGTTCTCCCTTTAAGTGTCCTTAGCCACAGGGAAAGTGGAGGTGTAGTCCATACTCACTGGAGCCACTGCTGGGAGGCCCCCCTCATTCCTGCGACCAGGGCAGTGGCTCCTCTAGGAGCATCACCCTCAGGAAGCCCAAGATTGCCTGGTCTGCTCCTGGGCTTTGGGCGTGTCCATCTCAGTGGCTTCCTGAGTGTCTGGATTTCTCAGCAACCCCCACCTGGTCAGGCACCGCAGGCCCAGCACCCCCAGAACCTCAGCGTTGCGGGGTCCCAGAGAACCTGACACAAATGAAGTGTTTCATGTGGATGATGTATTTGAGATGAAGTCACATCACAGTGTGTTAACATAAATAACATTCCTATGAAAAATGGCATTTTTATATTTTCCAAACCCAAATCTGATGAGGATGGGATTGTTTTGCCATCCATCTGATGCCAGTCTGCACAGAAGATGCCTGGGGACGTGGCCCTCTCCAGCCCCTGCCATTCCTCTATCAGCAGGTCCAGCTGCCTGCCTCCGCCTCTGTCTCCCGATCCCTGCCCCCTCCTCCTCCATCTTTACACCCTCCCCTCCTCCTCCTCCTTTTTTTCTCTCCTCCTTTTTCTTCTGGTAGTTGAGTACATTTTCTTCCTCTAAACTGAGACTTAAGGAGACTTTGCACCATACAAGTTGAGAAAGTCTCTTACTATACCTTGAAGAAGTTTTTTTTGGTACTGGGAATGGAACTCAGGGCCTTGTACCTGCTGGGCAGGCACTGTGCCCCTGAGCTGTGTCTCCAGCCCCTAGAGTGTGTTGTTTTAACTGTTACCCTCTTTGTCACTTCCAAGAGGAATTTATAGAAAAAAGCAACCATGTCTTAAACATCATTAGAAATCTGAAGCTGCAAAAGCAAGTGCTAAGATTGCTTGGCCTGGTCTTTAATTCTGCTGTTAGATGTTAAAGGTAAACTGAGGCTAAGATTTTGTCCAGCCTCCTGATAAGGGTTTAGTACCTCATTGCACTCACGCTGTGTCAGCAGGGTTCAGGCAGACTCCTTCAGAAGAACTGGGCCTTTGGGTGTGGTTTAGAGGCATCTGTCCTCAGCTGGCACTGCTTCCCGAGCCCTTCCTCACCTGCATCTTTCCCCTGTCTCCACAGTCACAGACTCGCCGGACCCCAAGCCTGTCGAGTCTCAACTCCCAGGACTCCAGCATCGAGATCTCCAAACTCACGGACAAGGTGCAGGCCGAGTACCGTGATGCCTATCGGGAGTACATTGCGCAGATGTCGCAGCTAGAAGGGGGTGCAGGGCCCGCTGGGGCCAGTGGCCGCTCCTCCCCGCACAGTGCCTACTACTCGGGGCAGAGCCCGTCAGGGGGCATGGCCCACCCCAACCTGGAGCCGGATCGAGGCAAGGAGAGCGAGCCCAAGCCAGACGAGGCCCGGAAGTCGCTCCTGATGAAGAGGGCGGATGTGCTGGACTACTCGTCATCAGGCGTGTCCACAAGTGATGCATCACCCCTGGACCCCATCACCGAGGAGGACGAGAAGTCTGAGCAGGCAGGCAGCAAGCTGCTGCCGGGCCGGAAGAGCTCTGAGAGGCCCAGCCTCTTCCAGACTGAGCTGAAGCTGAAGGGCGGTGGACTGCGCTATCAGAAGCTGCCCAGTGACGAGGACGAATCGGGGCCTGAGGAGTCAGACCATACGCCACTGCTGCGTGAAGACAAGGACAAGAAGGCTGAGGGCAAGGCCGAGCGGGCAGCCCGATCTCCGGAACACGGCGCTGAGCCCATCCGCACCTTCATCAAGGCCAAGGAATACCTGTCGGATGCACTCCTGGACAAGAAAGACTCGTCGGACTCGGGCGTGCGCTCCAGCGAGAGCTCACCCAATCACTCCCTGCACAGTGAGGCAGTGGACAGTGCACGGCTGGAGCGGGCCAACCTCATCGAGCTGGAGGACGACGGGCGCGGCATGCGGCGTGGGCTGCCCCACAGCCTGAGCAGCCTACAGGAGCCCGTGCTGGCACGCATGTCTATCTGCTCAGAGGACAAAAAGAGCCCCTCTGAGTGCAGCCTCCTGGCCAGCAGCCCCGAGGAGGGCTGGCCCACCTGCCCCAGAGCCTACAACCTCAATCGCACACCCAGCACCGTCACGCTCAACAACAACTCTGCACCCGCCAACAGAGCTGGCCAGGTGTTCGATGACCCGGATGGGATGCGGGAGAGCTCCCAGGGCCTGCTGAGGCCCGGGCCTGGCCCCAACCCTACCACTCCTGCACTGCAGAATGAGAATCTCAAGAGCCTGCCGCACAAGCGCGGCCAGCGCCCCAGCTATGCCCGGCTCCCCCAGGAGCCTGGAGAGCTGCACACAGGGGCTCCGGCCGACAGCACAGGCTTTGGAGAAGAGAGAGAGAGCATCCTGTGAGGCTGCACCAGGCTCCTTCGAGACAGCTCTGCAGGGAAAGTCGGCTCAAAAGTGCTGAAACGGCCTCGTCTGCAAAGTGCCAGGGTCCCTTTTGCAGCGCATGTGCTCGTCAGATGTTGAGTCCTGGCATCATGAAGCGGCAGCCGGCTTTCCCCCTGGGGCTGTCGTGAGAGGAACGTGCAGGGTCCAGAGTTGTGCTTAGTAGGTTAGGAACCTGAGTTCATTCTCGTAGTAGCAGTGCTCGTCAGAGAGGTGTTAAATTTGAAGTAGAAAATATGTAATGACCAAGGCTTTAGAAATTGGTAAGAAAATTCTGGCATGGTAGCACACACCGGTAGTCCCAGCACTTTGGGAGGCGAAGCAGGAGGACAGAGTTCAAGCCCAGCCTTGGCTACTCAGCAACTCAGCCAGATTCTGTCTCACAAAGGGCTCCATGTGGAGGCCCTGGGGTTCAGTCCTGGTATCCCCAAGTCCCTGGGCTGTCATGCTGTCAGGAGTGCAGAGGAGAGGGTGCGATCGGTCCAAGTATTCCTCCACTGCAGCACTGCCCTAAGTGCTCACGGCTCACGTCCATTGCGTGCCAACCCTCTGAGAGCTGAGTGGTGAAGGTTCCTGGAGCTGGCCAGGGAGTCGAAGGGCAAGCGCCGATGCCAGTGGTGTTCCTGGCACCCAGTGAGTTACATAGACATCATCTACATCAGGAGAGAGCTCGCTTCTTTCATCTGTTCCTAAAGCAGCCCTGAAGCCCTGGAGGAATACTGGGGAAAAGGAAAAGCACTTAAGAATAACATGCAAGCATGAAAACACAGAGGAGAAGGAAGCTCATCCTGAGTGACCGTGAGATTCGATGCTGACATTCCCGCTGAGGCCGGACCCGGGCGGGACCCCCTGGCAACACGGTGACGCTTCTCTCCAAGTGACTTGTGGGGCAAGGTTGACTGGCTGTGCATGCAGGTGTGGGTTGCATAGTAGATGGTGATGTCACACATATGGGGTGACCTAGCTGTAGTATTACTTGTGTGATGTTTGTCTCCTGCTGGGTTCTTAGCAATGCACAGAGGTGCCTCGATTCACAAATGCTTTTGTTTGCAAACAGTTTTTGGTTTGTTTACAAAGAAAAGCATTTGGCAAAATTTGGTTTTTGCTTGCGAAGTGTGCATCAGGTCACAAACATGTGAACTTAGTTGGAATGTGGCCATCATCTCTGAAAATTGTAGAGCAAGTGAAGTTTGCAAACCGAGGCCCCTGTACTGAGGAAGCCACCTGCTGGGCCGGCCACTTGCATGCCGCCACGCGGTGGAGTGCATTGTGGGTGTCCGTGAAGAGTGTCCTGCATGCTCTGTAGCACATACATTAGGCTCCCAGGAGGGCAGGTGCTGCTGCAGGCACAGCCTGGGCAGTTGAGTGTTCTTGTCCATGGTGCTGTCCGGTTGGCGTGATTACCGATGATTCCTCATGCTTTCCCACTGAGGCTCCCCACTGCTGGCAGCTCCACTCTGTGCAGCTGGCAACGTTAGTGCTGGAGGCCAAGCACACACATAGATTCAGAAGACAATAAAAATATGCATGCCATGCAGACCCCTGCGTCTTTATTCACGGCCTTGATGACGACTGTCATGTTTATTAAAAATAAAGTCCTTTGTGTACTCACTTCGACCATGTATGGAGTCCATGACTTTCAGCCAGGAGCAGCAGCCAGGTCTCTGGCAGTGTCGCCCACTGCCTGTCGAGGCCCTTGGAGGGGACCTACACTACCCACCCAGCGCCTGCACTTGGGATGGCCGCAGTGACACAGTGGCTGTCCACGGCTCCACGGCAGGTTTGCCCTTCTGCTCCCACAGGAAGTCAGCGAGCTGGACGGGTCACTGAGGCCCACTCTCTGCCTTTGGATCCGTGTGTGTGTGTGTGTGTGTGTGTGTGTGAGAGAGAGAGAGAGAGAGAGAGAGAGAGAGAGAGAGAGAATACTGCTTAGTGTGCATCACACATGCAGTGGGGCATGACAGGAAATTGGGGCTGTATAGCTGTGTGGCCTCCCTGTGGATCAGGCAGACCATATTCACTGGGCTTGTGAGTGGAACCTCCCGAGCCTGATCCACCTGTGTGGCCCAAGGGGTGGCCACGGAGAGAAGCCATTTCAGTCTGTGTGGCGTCCAGTCAGCTCCCCGGGCCAAAGGCCTGAGAAGCTGCTCACTGTGCTGGGAATGGTTTCTCCAACCACAAAGAAAGATCTGTCTTCAGGTTGCATTTTCCGTACATGAAATTTGTTTACGCAGCAATCAGGGTGATTTTAATTACCCATGCAAGTAATTTCAGAAGTATATTTGCATCTCGATCTCAAGAAGGCCATATACCTTCTCATGTATATCCCAGTGCTGCAATAAAAGATGTGTGATCATTTGCCTTACTAATCACCAGAATGTTTTGAACGGCATGGAACTCTTTCTCTTCCTGTCTAAAGCACTGTACTAACTCTCAAAGTCTTGGAGATGGCAGAATGTCTGGTTACACCAGGAATTCTCAGCCTGTGTAGCAGAATCACAGAGCTTAGGACATCCTGCCTCCTGGCCAACTCCTCCCAGCTCCCGGGGAGAAGGGAAGCGGGCGCGGTTGTCTGCTTTGTTTATCAGCAAGAGATTCCGGGAGAAGCACAGGTGGTAGGGAAGAAGCAGCAACATTTGCTGTTGTGGCCAACGCTTGATGTTGGTCTCATGGGCTCTTCCCTTTTGCCGTCATTCCCTTTTGCCGTCATTCCCTGAGTGAGCTGGAAGGCAGGAAGTGACTGGGTGACTGTAAGTGAGCACTTGATGGCTTTTTAGTGATACATCATTTTTCAGAGGCTGAGAATCCCTGGTTGAGGCCGACTAAATAAGGAGACTTGAAAGCCTTGTATAATTTTGAACTTTTCATGCCTAGGAGGAACATGCCATCCTTGACATAGATAGCTCCTCCGAGGACCCGGATTAAGGTACGTAAGAATTAGCTGACACGATTGGTATGCTCCACCCCTCTGCTAGAGCTTGGTAAGAGGCTTCCTAAACAATAGCAGGAAGTGAACCACTGTCCCTCCCAGTGGAAGGGCTTCAGTGACCCTGAGATGGAGCCACAGGCCTGGCTGTGTCACTGTCACTGGGCGGTGGCGTGGGCAGGTGGCTTCTGGCAACTTCTTGCCACCCAGAGGGCACAACTTGACCCAGGGCCTGGGAAGATCCCGGATGGGTGTTTCTGGTCTGGGACAGTGAGGCATTGGGGGGAGTGGAGAATTTGTAAGAATAGAAGGATGCCTGGGCATGGTGACACACACCTGTAATCCCAGCCCTTGAGAGGCTGAGGCAGGAGTTCAAGGCCAGCCTGAGCTACATAGAGTGTTCAGGACCAGCCTACACTGCATAGCAAGACCCTGTCTCAAAAAAAAAAAAAAAAAAAAAAAATCCAGGAGCAGAAGATATAGCTCAGTGGTACAGCCCTGCCTGACAAGTGCTAGGTCCTGAATTCAGTTCCTGATACCAAAAAAATAGAGGGTGCTGTACAGTATGAGCAGTTGTAGGTGACCTGGACAGGATCAGAGAGCAGGCAGGTCAGCACTGCAGACCATGCAAATCTAAGGTGCAGAATCCTGAGGCCAGTGAGTGGCACAGCTTACCAACCAATGCCCTGCAGCCCTATGGTGGAGGCCACATCTCTGCCTGGGCCTGAGTCCCCACCCAGGGACAGTACAGTGTCCAGGCTTCTGAGTGAAGACCTCAGCTGCAAGACAAGTGTCAGAAACCAGTGAGAGGTTCCGGCTTGTATTTCCATAGCCTTTAATGGAGAACTTTTTAAAAGCCAGTAAATATCTGACCAAAGCCCAAAACTGGCAAAAAGCATAGTTCTGTCAGGTTGTAATGGGTAGGGCCACTGTGCACCCCATGTGGGGTACAGGGGTCTGGCTTGGACAGTCGACAGGACTTGGCTGCAGGTCTCCTCGGAGGCCTCTCTTGGCCTCACTGAGGAGGTGCCTGGCAGGTAGGTGGTGGTGTGCGCCTGCAACCCAGCACTCGGAGGTTGAGGCAGGTGGACCACTGGGATTTTGAGGCCAGCCTGAACTGCACAGTGAGAGCCTGTCTCAAAATATGCTCCCGGACATAACACGTAAGGTCTTGGTAGTGTTGTTTTTTCCTAGTACTATCAGGGACCCTTCCTTGGTTTTCCTGGGATCTAACAAAATGGGTGATAACAGCAAAATAAGTCATTTAGATGGATGAATGAAAATTTACTTTGAAAAAATACATGTAAAAATTCAAATGCCACCACTTTAAGGCCGCCTTGACGTGCACTGTGACAGCCCGCGCTGACTGCATCGTTTCTTTGAAGGCATCAGGGCCCCGTGGCACCTCCCGTCTCCTCATTCTGCTCGCTCGTGCCGCACCACGGCTTCCTCTCCAGAACCCTGCAGGGAAAGAAGATGGCATCTGCACTCAGAGCCCGCTGCCACCACTGCCGCCTGGCGGCTCCTCGGGAGGCTCAGCCTGCGACACCCTGGAGCCCGGCCGCAGTCAGTGGGGTTGCCACCCATCATCCGTCTGTCCTGGAGCCGCACTGCACCATGAGGACTGCTGCCCTGTTCATCTGCAGACCCTGTTGTGTTTCCCACCGACGCAGCTCTTTGTGTTGAAACAAGCTGTTCTCTTTGAGTGCTGAGTGCCAGTGTGATTTCTTCCTCCTTCCCCCAGGTCCTTCTACTCAGCTGCCTGTTTCCTTCTGTTGGTGGCTGGTTACTTTCTGCTCCCAATTTACCCCCAAGCAAGGCCAGGCTTTCTCCTGCTGCTGCCCCAGTGCACCTGACCTTGCATTCGCTGTGTGTCGGGTTTCTCTGGCCACCGCCCCAGCTCTATCCCCTGGGCACACAGTGACACCATACTGCACTTGGGCAGATGCTGCCTGGGTCAGGGTCTCTGAGTTGGGCTGACCAGCCCTGCATTGGGTCTTCCTCATTATCTATTCATTGGCCTGCATCCCTTCATCTGTAAAACTTGAGTAAGCTAGGTGGAGTAGCACACACGTGTCACCTCAGCACTGTGGAGGCTGAGGTAGGAGGGTCACAAGTTAGCAAGGGCCTGTCTTGAAATAAAAGTGGTAAAGAGGATTCCTTCCATAATTTGTATTACTTACCCAATGCTTATGCAAAGTATGAGTCACTTTGCAAACATGAGCTCCCTAACTGTAGCCAGCTAAAGGCCCAGTATGTTTCCTGCAGACTTGCGGCGGGAGTAAGTAGGAGTCACGTCTGGAGGGCCAATGAGTGCATCTGCCCTGCGCCCTTCCACTGCCCTGGCATAGTGGTGAGCTCGGTTCTCAGGTGCTGCCTGGGTGAAGGGACACTTGGCTCACAGAGTGTGAAGACAGTTCTGCCGTCACTGAGTCCTGCCCCTCCTGTGTGCAGGGAGTCCCCATAAATGTCCCTGTGCTGAACAGAATTATTTGCCTGAAGTACTAACCTACTGTCCTAAGTTCTATGGGCTTCATTTTATGTGAAAGACAGAAAAGAAATGCGCCTCTTAAGAACATGTAACAGGTGCTGGGGATGGTAGTACACACTTGTAATTCCAGACCTCAAGGAGGCTGAGGCAGGAGGACCACAAGTTTAAGACCAGCCTGGGCAACTCAAGGAGACCCTGTCTTGAAATAAAATGTAAAAAGGGGTGGGGAGGTAGGATGCAGCTCAGTCCTCCGTACAAAAAAAGTTCTTAGTTAACTCGTAAGAGTCCTGAATTTAGTAAAATATAAAGTTCTCCATAGAGAACTGTGAGGGCTGAGGATTTAGCTCAGTGGCATAAGTGCCTGCTTGGCAAGTGCAAGGTTGTGAGTTCAAATTCTGGTACCAAAAAACAACTGTGGATTTAGCTCAACGTTCTTTGTTGGTAAATTGAAAAATCTAGGCACAGACTTTTCTAGCATGCGGCAACTTGTTTCAACTTGCAGCTGAGTTAATCCTGATGTTGTGTAAATTAATCCCGTACCAGGAGCGTTACCAAGCAGAAGAATGGTTATGCATTGATGTGAAAGCAGGTGACCGTTGTGTGGAGCCAGGAATGGCAGGATTTTGTGTGTGAAGTCAGGTTCTCATGCAAAGTTGAAATACCAAGAAAGGGACTCGATGGGCCTACAGTGATGTCGAATGTGAGCCAGGCATGGTGGTGTACCCCTGCAGTGTCAGCACTTGGGAGGCTAAGAGGGGAGGATCATTGCCGAGAGTTTGAAGCCAGTGTAGGCTGCATAGCGAGACATCTGCAAAAACAAAACTAACAAAGCCAAGTACAGGAAGAACAACTGAAGAGTTTGTTGTGAGTATCACATCTTGTAGAAAACACCATTAATACAAGATAAGACTTTAAAATCCATAATGCAGCTTTGATGAGTGGAGAAATCAGAAGCTTAGTGTTCTGGTTTTTCAAAGGAAACTGGACAAAAATAGCCTCGACTTGAGGAAAGCAGTCATTGGTGATGGAAGGTGATGTTTTCTCTGTGACCCAGAAACAAAGTGTCAAAGTTTGCCCTGGAAAATTACAGCTTCCCCGGATGCCATGCGGCGCTTGCACACGCCGGAGTCCCAGGAGTGCCCACTGGGTCCCCGGCCATCTGTGGTGTGGGGAAGCTGCCAGGTCGCCACGTAT